AAGCCTCTTGAAAAATAAAGGCTAGATTAAGCTGCAGATGGAAATCATGAAGAACAATGTTGATCTGAAGAACGTTGAATGCTGTCATCGCGCATTAGCTAAAAAACTTTTTGCTTGCCAGTATGCTCAGTTGCTAATGACTAAAAAATCAGTTGCACGAGTAAAAGTTTTACCTGATGTTGTAAAATCAATTAATACCCAAACTACACGCTTATTAGGAAAAAAACCAATAGGTGCAATAAATATGGAAAAAAATATTTTTAGCTCCATTAACGCCTGCTGCAAGAAAAGAAGTTTTAATTCCTCACAGTGTAAAAGTTTGTTACTTGTATGTTCCAGTGAGGTAGAAGATTGCCAAAAAAGGGCTACTGACCCTATTTGGTCTTAAAAGATGAATTTTGGACATAATCCTTTTATTAAGAAGTTGTAATCAGCTTCTTCTGGAAAATATTTCTTTATCTTCTCTGCCCTCTGTGAGACAATAAGTTTTTTATTGTTGTTGTTGTTTCGTTTCATTTCATATTTTGCTGTTAAAATAAATTACAGATGAGTTTTACGTGGGAAATACCAATTAATAAAATATTTTAAAAACAGACGGGGGCTCAAAGAAGATATGGATGATGCAATATCACCTCAATCTTTTCATAGAGCCCCTTAATATAATAAAATATTGATATTTTAAATTATAAAATACTTAAAAAGAGTTATAAAAATCCATTAAAAATATAAAAGTAACAAAATAAAAAATATATAAAATAAACTAAAGATATAATAAGAGAACCAACTATTTTTACAATTACAAAGATAACTTTATTGTAATTTCAGATATTCAAAGTAATAAGTACATCACCTGCTTTTTTAGAATAAGCAATATCTTTTACTTTATTTATTTTTATCTTTTCTAAATACTCCTCTCCACGTTTAAAACGTTGAATAGTTTCATTGATAAAGGTATCATTCAAAAAAAAAAAAATAGCTGCATAATATTTGCTTATTATATGATTATCACTCTTAAAAATTAAGATCAAAGGTCACTTTTTTTCTGTCATTTTTACAAATAACGCCTCCTATATGAGTCTCATAGTACATTAAAATTAAATCTCCAGAAATGTTTTTTGTATATGCAATACATACCCAAAGAGTTTCATTATTACCTTTTTCAGAATAATTCTATTTAAATTTTAAAGCTGGAGTCTACTAGTGTATTATTATTTCTCTGAGTATTATTTCAGTTTATTGTTATTTGACCTCTGTATTATTATTTTTTATTCATTTTTGTATATGATTTATATTTTTTCCTCTAATTAATTTTTTTTTTCTAAACCTTAATTCGATAAGCATTTTTTTGTCGACTTCAACACTCCTTAAATATATGGGGACTTATTTAGTGAAAAGCTTAAACGCAATTTTTACTTAAAAAAAAAACTGCGTAAAAAAGTCCGAAATTTTATAGAAAACTGTTTTAAAGTGCCACCATGTTGACAAACAAAAAAACCCTCAAAAAAGTCAAAATTCCAAGAGTTGAAAGCCAGTGTCACTTATATCTGAGGTGCTCGATAAACTAAAGCAATTATATATTAATAAACTAAAGCAAAAATAACTATATTGTAAATATTTGAGTATTTAGATTGGAAATTTTACATGTTAATATTATCTGCAGTTACAACGTTTTGACAATATTTATTTTTCTAAGGGGCTCTTTAAAAAGATTGAGGTGGTAAAGCATTACCCACATCTTCTTTGAGTCCCGTTCTGTTTTTTAAATTGTCTTATTTATATTTTTTTTATGCAAAACTCCTATGTAACTTATTTTCCTAAACAGAAAAATATATAAGGGAAGTAAGGGCATAACCGTCCCCGTAAGGTTTGGATTAATGTTATATGAAAATAAAAACAAAATGTATTTTGTTTAAAGTTTATTTCAATAACTACCTTATTAAGCTTTAAGTTGCTGCAATTAAGAAAAAAATTAAACTTTTTTGAAATTTTTATAACACATAACACATAAATTACACTTAGTGAAAAAAACGGTCGTGCCCCCATTGTGAGGCATAACTGCACCCTCACAAAAATTGTTGGGGGTACATTTTTCGTGATACCTTTTCTTTACAATTGTCACAGCTCAGATTGATTTTGTTACACGTTTACACACTGTATAAGCATTCTTTGTATTTACAGTCTGAGTTTTCTCATTCAAAATACTTACAATTTCCGTAGATGTAGCATTTTTTGTTTTGCAGTCTTGGCAATTGTTTAAGGATTTTTTTTTTTAAGTTTTTAGAACCATGTGCTTTTCCAGTTCCGCTTTATATGGCGAACTGGTGATGTGATATGATATGCCTCACAATGGGGGCACGACCGTTTTTTTCACTAAGTGTAATTTATGTGTTATAAAAATTTTGATAGATGTTTTGTCCTTTTGGTATCGTTTTCAAGGCTGCTGAGTTTTCTCATTCGGAATACATATAATTTCTTTGGGTGAAGCAATTGTGAAAGAAATGTCATAGATGTCAAGTACAAAGATTTTGGTTCTGAGCAAAATGTCAGGGATGAATCTTACAATAAAATAATAATCACCATACAAATAATAATTCACTTGCAGTGAAATAATAATCACCATAATAATCACCAGGTATACATAAATATAACAAACATAAATATAACATACTCTATGCTTTATATTTTAATCAAAGCTCATTTATAAAAATTGAATAAAAAAATAAGAAATCTAATTTCCCAACTTCTCAAAACAAAACTATTTCTATTTAAGTTTTTACATAAACGCATTTAAGTGTGACCATTGTAATTTTTGTCGTTCGTAATTATCTAATTATGATAAATATCAAAAGTATGCGGTTGTGCCTTTTGTACGTCGATGCGGTCCTGCCCCAAAGGACAATTTTTATAAAGAACACAGTTTCATAGCTTGCTTATTAGGTTATGTTGGTATCAAAAATAGTTTTCGCTTGATGAAATAACGCTGATAATACATATACTTAACACTAAAATCAAATATTGTTTAATCCTCATAAGAAAGGTCTGGAAAAATATGATGTATAAGCAGTATTTTTATCAAAATAAACATTACTATGCACAACTTCTCAGAAAGGTAACAGGCACTCTTTTTGACGTAAACAAAATGCGAGTAACTGTTTTACTAGCGCAAAGTATGTTTGTTGCCATATTGGATGATATTTTTCATTTCAACATTTAAAACGGTTGTCCCTCCATATGCGGTTTTGCCCCCACTTCCCTTAATACTTAAAAAAAAAAAAAAAAAACTTTTAACAAAATTAGTTTTAATGTTATTATTAATTAATTTAGCTTGGATTTCTTAATATTTTAATCAATCGTTATTAAAACTTAACTAGTTTACTTTTCCTTAACTATAAGGGGAAAAGTAAACGTTTTTTTCCTTCACAAAATTGTTTTTTTCCTCAACTTTCAAAATACTTTTTGTCAATTTTTAATATTTATATAATGTAAAATATTCTTTAAAAAAAGCAAAAAAGCAGTGAACAAAAATGAAACTTTTAAAATGAATAAGCACCTAAAAAATTAGGTGGTAAATAGTGAAAATATTTCTTAGTAATTAGAAATGTAAAACCATTATTAACTTGACAATTCTAGTTTTTGGTTATGTCCTCTCAATATATTGTAAAGAACGACATAACATTTTTTTAAATAAATTTGTTGTCCCACGGAATGCGCTTTCTCAAGCAGCAGTGAACGCTCCATCCATTAATGCTTTTAAAGACAGCATAACAAAGTAACTTTTAGAGACACGCACGCTGCTTTGTCTGTAGCTTCTGTGTATATTTTCCGTCAGCATAGAGGGGCCTGATGTAGCACCTTTTCATCAAACTATAAACAGATTTATCGTATTTTTTTTTTTTTTTTCACTGAATAATAATAATAATTGAAACAATAAAAAAGTGCAACATTTTGAATAGTATTGGAATAACGGAAATTAAAATATTAAAAAATAAAAAAAATAATAAAAAGTTGTGCCGTAACTTTATTTTTGCGCGAAATATCGCCTTTTTGTAAGTCAAAAATGTATAATAATGCATTAAACCTAAGCACCTGTAATATAATAGCTCTATTTTGTACTTATTTGTACTACAAATAAAGCACTGTTTTGAACTAATAATGAGGTAATGTATCATTAATAAATTAATTCTACTTTATGTAATACTTAAATTAAGTCTTACATATTTAGTTTAGAACAGTGCTTTATTTTGACAGAACTTAAATTAAGTGTAATTTCAGTAAAATTAATAACTAACTTGTTTACTTCACTTCTAACTTTTTAAATTTATTAATAATTATAAATTCTCGATAAGTTATAATTAAGTCTTAGTAATTATAACATATTAAAAATTGATGTCTCATTAAATAAATTTAAGTTCTATAAATTCATATCAGAAATTACATGAAAACGATTTTGTTCCTTTATTTTAATTAATAGAAAACCAAATAAACTGTTGTTATTTTTTATCAAAATCATAATATTTCTTAGGTTTTGGTAAATGGTATTTTAAGATTTCAATTATCAAATTATTGTAACTTATTATAATTATTTATAATTTATTTCTACTAATTTTTTTTTAATATAAATTATTATAACTTAGCTAATAGCTTTTTTGTGATGAGTTCTGGCTCCAAGATAATATCTTGGAGCCTTTTATTAAGTAAAATTTTGTTGGCAATAAGCCAATTATAGTGTTTTTTTTATATTGTAGTTAATAATTTTGTGATTTTTTGTTTTAGTAATTGGTTAATGTAGATTTAAATAAGTGTCATGGTAAAAAATTTTAACTTTGCATAATTTTTTATATATTTTTTAATTCATTTAAAAAAATTATTTCATAAACGTATTTTTTGTAATAATTGCTAATTGTTTTTTTATTTAAACTTTGCATAATTTTTTAT